GGGAGTACCAGTCACGCAGCTGCTGTGAAGAGGGAGCGCCAACAGGCGCAGTACGGTCCGGCTCACAACCCCCAGCCTCAGCTCCTCTAGGCTCAGCACCCCCAGTCGGAGCACCCCCAGGCTCAACACCCGCAGTCTCCGCACCCCCAGACTCAGCACCCCCAGTCTCCGCACCCCCAGGCTCAACTCCTCGCGCAGGACCAGAGTCAACAGCTACCTCGACAGGCTCGACCGGGTCTACCTGGGAAACACCTGAGGGAGCAGCACCCTGGGGAGGGAGGGGGTCTATCGACGGGACACCTGGGGTGAGGAAGAGCGGTGGGGGGGGGAGCGGGGCAGTGCGGTAGGGGAAGAGACGATAAAAGGGTACCGACTCGTCAAAGGTGACGTCCTGAGAGGCGAAGACACGGCGCGAGGTGGGGTGGTAAAACTGCCAGCCAGGCGCGTCAGGGACAAAGCCAAGGAAGACACAGGGAACGGCACGGGAGGAGAGCTTGTCCGCGGACGTATCGCGGACAAAGGCCCGACATCCCCAGACTCGGAAAACCGATGCATCGCCAACCTCCCCCGTCCAACGCAGGATAGGCGTGGTCTCCGGAACAGAGACACGGGGCCAGAGGTTGAGCTGATGCGCGGCGTACTGCACTGCAAACGGCCACAGGAAATGGGGGGCAGCCGCATGGATCATGGAGGTACGAGCGACCTCCATGACGAGACCAATGCGGCGCTCAGCAACCCCATTCTGCAGCGGAGAGGCCGGGAGAGTGAACGTCTGGCGGATGCCGTGCTCCGTACAGTAGGCTGCCAAGAGGTCAGAGGAAAAGTCGCCACCTCTGTCAGAGTGCAAACGTAGGACAAGAAAGTCCGACTGGAACCGCTCGCGGAGCTGGAGACGAGCAGCGCGGATCCAGGGGATCAAGACATCAGGGACCTCACCCTTGGTACGCAAGGGGAAGACCGTGGTGTAGCGCATGTAGTCGTCGACGACCAGCAGAAAGTACCGCTCGTGGCCCTGTCCCCGGACGCGGGCGGGGCCCCACACGTCCAGGTGGAGAGTCTGCAGGGGAGCCTCGGTGGGAGGGAGCGAGGAAGAGTGAGGAGCGGCGCGCTGCCGCCCCTCGACACAGGGAAGACAGGGAGGAGCAGGCGAGGGTGGGAGGGGAGGGAGAACCCTGGGAAGACCAGAGACAAGGTACCTGGTGTGCATGTCGCGAAGGCGCTGCACTGACGGGTGACCAAGGCGGTGGTGCCTGAGGACAGTCCTGTGCGACAGGGAGCGACACGAGCAGGGGGCCGATAGCTGACCTGACGCAGACGCAGACGCAGCTACCTAAGGGGACTCAGTGGTCAGTGTGTACAAGTCCGACCCAGGCTGCCGAGTGAAGGTAGCCAGGTGACGACCTGTCTAGGCACACGTGCAGTGCGTCACACGCTTGTAGGCAGGGGTGAACTGGTGAACACCCGCGTCCTGGAGCGCGGAACCCGCCACCAAGTTCGTAGAGAACGAGGGGAGGTAGAGGCCCGACAGCGTGCCAGACGGGACAGCAGGACAAGGGAGGGCAGTGGTGGAGGTCGCAAGGACCGGACCCCCTGAGGGGTCAGCCAGGGAGACAGCAACCGGTCTAGGAAGCTGCTCTAGGGCAGTGCGGTCGCGAAAGAAACAGCGGGAAGCACCTGAGTCCAATGTGAAGGTGTGCAGTGCCTCAGTAGGTGCGGTACCAGCAGACGCAGACGCACTAGCACCTAGGACAGCAGCCTCACCAGGACCTAGAGCAGTAGACGCAGAAGCACCAAGAGCTGCAGCCTCACTGGTCCCAATACCCGGGTCGGGCAGTACACTCAGGTAACAGTCACCCTCAACACTAATAGTCAATGCATACATAGCAGCAAGGATAACATCATAATCAAGAGCAAAGATATCAATCCCCTTCTTAAGCAGATCAGCCCAGCGGGGCAGCTCAGAGGCGTCAGGAAACTGCTCGCGCCAGGCGTCGTCGAGGTGAAAGAAACAGCGCTGCGCCGTGTGAAACCTCCCACAGGTCTGGCCAGTGCGGTCACCTGTGCGGATGACGTACGAGCAGGTACCTCCACCCCGAGACCCCCCACGCTGAGAGTACCACTCATGGAGCTGCTGGGGCGACAGGGTCTTGCTGGGACGCTGCTGCTGCTGCCTCTGGCCGCCGCCAAACCCGCCACGCTGCACCGCTCCACCGCGCCATCCACCAGCTCCACCGCCGCCACCACTACCACCACCACCCCCGCCACCTCCACCACCGCCGCCTCCACCACCCCCGGCTCCGCCACCGCCCCCCCCACCACCAGCACCACTCCCACCACTACCACCCCCGCCGCCACCTCCACCGCCCCGGCCACCTTTGCCCCTGCTGCCCTTGCGCCGCCCACTGGGAGCGTACGCAGCTCCGACCCCCTCAGCACCTAGGAAGTCGACAGCAGCAGCAGATGCAATGGAGGGGAGAAAGGGGGAGGGGGAACATCCCTCAAAGAAGGGAGTGCGAGGGTCGCCACGAGAGGCACCTACAACTACAATGCTCTTCTCAGCTGCAAGGAGTTCCTTCTCGAGTAGGTCGACAGTGAGGTCTGTGGGGGAGAGAGCGAGAAAGTGGTCCCTGACAGCGCGAAGAGAGTCAGGGAGGCGAGTGACTAGGTGGTAGAGGGTGAGGTACATCGGGGGGGGGGGGGGGGGTTCTCGGCTAGGAAATCGGGGGGGAGCGCGGCACGGTAGCGGAGATCACTAGTACGGAGGTGAGTGATGAGGTCAACTACAGTGGCAAAGGCAGACAGATCTGGGAAGAGATAGGGCAGTGAGAGACGGCCTATCGCAGTAGTAGCAGGGGAGGAGTAGCGTGCAACTACAGCATTGTACAGCTCCTTAGCGGTCTTATGCTGGCCGAAGTGCTCGCGCTCATCTAACGGCAGGTGACTTCGAACGGCTAGGCGAGCATGGGCGTCACGAGTCTGCCACAGTGAGCGAGCAGTACTGTCAGCAGCAGCAGCAGGTGCGGGGGCAGCGCCGGACCTGTGGGGACACACTAGGAGAGAGGCGCTCGAGGGCGCTAAGTCGATACGGCGCTCGAAGGCGCTTCTAGCGGTGGGCCCTTAGGTCAGTGGTCCTAGGTCTAAAACCTAAGCTCTTAATACCATGTCAGAAACAAGAAGTGATCAACTAGAAACATTTGGGAGTACAAGTATGAAACCCTAGAGAAATGTACACCCTACAGGCTAACCCATTGTAGCCTACAAAACAGAAACATATATAATGTTTGACACTAAAATAACGAATTATCGATTAGATTTTTTTCGTACAACAGTCGTTCAGATTGAATTCGCGTTTCCCCCTTTAATCGAGTACGTCTCGGACTGAATCAGGATGACCCGACAGCCAATAGGAAGAAAGATGTGACAAATGTTCACGCGCCAGTTGTCCTGCGCGTGTTCGCCCAAATACAATTGATGCCCAACCAGTGCACGCGAATTTGCCTTGCGCTGGATGGAAACGCTGCACCCGAGGTTGTTTCTCCAGCCTTTTGCTCCCACGTTATAAGCGCGTCGCGTGGTTATCAACCAATAGTAACGAACAGACCGAGGTCAAGCAGAAGAGACTGAAGTAAAATATGGTAACAGATCTTGTTTATAAGCACCTGCGAATCCTTTTTAGCTAGCTGAGAATTGACGAAAGTTATACGAAATCCTCGTTACAGCTTATACGCCCACCGGGAGGGGCTCAAACAGGCATCAATTGTATGCCGAACTAGCTCGAAGGGCTTGGGAGAGTTTCGCTGCACCTATCGAAAACTACACGCCCACGACTCATTTCCAACTTGTTTACCACTTCCACCAAGTTCGCGATGTCGCCTTCCTGATAACAACAGTACGGAATTAGTTCAACGCAACGCACGACAGATTCCCAACGTCCTTTTTAGGCCGTCCGACTGCCACGTGGCGGTAGAGTTAGAAATCCGACAAGCAGGCCGGTGGTCTTGATCCGTCGGCTTTCGAGAAAAGACCGCCAAGCCTGCTGCTCCAAGTCGTCCCTCCTATCGCAGTCAGGCGGACGCCTCAACCTGCCGGCTATGGCGGTGCATCGCGGCTCCGTCGCGGTCTCTTGGCGCTCGTCGGCGCTCGCATGCTGCTGCCTGCCGTCCACGTCGCTCGCAGTGCCCATTGCAGACTCGCAAGGTGCGTTGGTCGCAAGGTGCGTTGGTCGCAAGGTGCGTTGGTCGCAAGGTGTGTTGGTCGCGAGGTGCCCTGGTCGCTCACCTCATACCCCGCTGTGCGCTATCAGACGCTCCGACCTTAAAATGTTGACGACACGGTGACCTTAGCCGGCTTGCATGGTGGGCCGAGGCCGATGGCCACGCTTGTACCAGAGCCAACCCGCCACCCGGCCAGTCAGTCAGCCTGTCAGCCAGCCAGCGAGCCACCTGGCTGGCCAGGCGGCTATGAAAAGACCTGTGAATGAAGATTCACTAGACCCATTCTTCCAAGTCCGTGCTTTTCTTTTGGGGACAAACCCTGCCCTTCGGCTCACCACCACCACCTACCTAAACCGCCCTTCATCAACAGTCTACGCACTGCCAAACCTCCTTCACCGCTTTCCCCCTTCGTTTGCACGGTCGCTGTTGCTGGCTGCGCGGCAGGCGAGGTGCTGCAGGATTTGCAGACGACGTGGAAAGCAGTCATCCCAGGCTGGCAGGCGGGGAGCGACTGCCAGCAAGCCCAAGGCCTCACATGCGATTCAAACGGCATGATCACCTCCATGTGCGTGTGCGCCCCTCCGTGCCTTGCTGTGCTGTGCTGTGCTGTGCCTAATACTCTGGCCACACAGATACTCTAGCATCGTGAGCAGATACTCTCTTTTGCTGCGTGGCCCTCCGTGTGTGAAGTAAACCCAGAAGCATCAAAGTCCCTTTCTCCTTGTGCTTCGTGTACCCTTGCCTCCCACCCCGTTTCTCATTTCTTCCCCCTATCTGCTTCCCCCTATGCGCTCTGCCCTATCTGCTCTCTCCCCCTATCTGCTCTCCCCCTATCTGCTCTCCCCCTATCTGCTCTGCTCTCCCCCTATCTGCTCTCCCCCTATCTGCTTTGCCCCTATCCGCTTTGCCCAGGCGGTTCGATCAACTTCCTTCATCGTCTTCTCTCACAACCGATGTCGCATGCCTAACCAGCCTCACAGAGCTGTAAGTGTGTGTGTGCTGTGCTCCTATCAAGGGCGCTTTGTCAGGTTACAACCCATGTGACCTTGTTCTGGTGCCTCTTCCTGACTCCTGGTGCCTTTTCCTGATTCCTAGTGCCTCTTCCTGATGAAGGCTTGCTAGGGGCTTCCCTACAGCCGAAACATGTTTGTCCGTGTTTTAGCCACTGCTTAGTGAAGAGATTCGACTTTGCAGAACCCTACGTGAATTAGCTAGGTTTTCTACAACTGTTTCCTCCTTAGCTAAATCTTCTCCCTTCAATTGCTGCTCGCTGGAATGTCTTTTAATCTACTGCCTTCCGGACTCCTCCTGCCTTCCGGACTACTGCTGCCTAGGTTTCTTAGGTCTTAATGCTTCTTTTTGAGCTGCAGCAGAGGCCACCCACACCACCACACCACCACGAACATGGATGGAGGCTCTCCGTTTACGCTTGCCTTGTGTTTTGCCCTTGGATTGGAACGACACTTGCAACAACATTTGGAACGATACTCGGAACGGCACTCAGAGCAAACACCTGAAACAACAGCATTGCCTCTCCGCGTGTTCATATCTCCTTGTCAACCACCAATGCTTTTTTTACTCCATGCATGCAGGAGATTTCAGTACTCTTTACCTGACCCGAAATCACTGAACAGCATGACGCAGCTCAAGGCCCTGTGAGTGGCTTGTGGGGTGGGGCACTGATGTGCGGTCAGGGGCATGCGTTTCCTGTGCTTTGCACACTTTCGTTCTTTGTGATGGCCTAGGAGTTGGAGCACACATGCTTGCAAGCATCACACTTACGCATTTTATTGGTTCAATGCGGTTGCGTGTGTGTGTGCGTGTGTGTGTGTGTGTGTGTGTGTGTGTGTGTGTGTGTGTGTGTGTGTGTGTGTGTGTGTGTGTGTGTGTGTGTGTGTGTGTGTGTGTGCAGGTCAGTGGACTGTAATCCCAACGTGCCCCTTGCATTCAGCCTGACCAACCTCGTTCAGCTAACTAGACTGTGAGCCTTCCCATGCATGGGCGTGCAAGCCATCTCATGCATGGGCGTGCAAGCCATCTCATGCATGGGCGTGCAAGCCATCTCATGCATGGGCGTGCAAGCCATCTCATGCATGGGCGTGCAAGCCATCTCATGCATGGGCGTGCAAGCCATCTCATGCATGGGCGTGCAAGCCATCTCATGCATGGGCGTGCAAGCCATCTCATGCATGGGCGTGCAAGCCATCTCATGCATGGGCGTGCAAGCCATCTCATGCATGGGCGTGCAAGCCATCTCATGCATGGGCGTGCAAGCCATCCCATGCATGGGCGTGCAAGCCATCTCATGCATGGGCGTGCAAGCCATCTCATGCATGGGCGTGCAAGCCATCTCATGCATGGGCGTGCAAGCCATCTCATGCATGGGCGTGCAAGCCATCTCATGCATGGGCGTGCAAGCCATCTCATGCATGGGCGTGCAAGCCATCTCATGCATGGGCGTGCAAGCCATCTCATGCATGGGCGTGCAAGCCATCCCATGCATGGGCGTGCAAGCCATCCCATGCATGGGCGTGCAAGCCATCCCATGCATGGGCGTGCAAGCCATCTCATGCATGGGCGTGCAAGCCATCCCATGCATGGGCGTGCAAGCCATCTCATGCATGGGCGTGCAAGCCATCCCATGCATGGGCGTGCAAGCCATCTCATGCATGGGCGTGCAAGCCATCTCATGCATGGGCGTGCAAGCCATCTCATGCATGGGCGTGCAAGCCATCCCATGCATGGGCGTGCAAGCCATCTCATGCATGGGCGTGCAAGCCATCCCATGCATGGGCGTGCAAGCCATCTCATGCATGGGCGTGCAAGCCATCCCATGCATGGGCGTGCAAGCCATCTCATACATGGGCGTGCAAGCCATCTTCTGCATGGGCGTGCAAGCCATCCCATGCATGGGCGTGCAAGCCATCCCATGCATGGGCGTGCAAGCCATCCCATGCATGGGCGTGCAAGCCATCCCATGCATGGGCGTGCAAGCCATCTCATACATGGGCGTGCAAGCCATCCCATGCATGGGCGTGCAAGCCATCCCATGCATGGGCGTGCAAGCCATCCCATGCATGGGCGTGCAAGCCATCTCATACATGGGCGTGCAAGCCATCTCATGCATGGGCGTGCAAGCCATCCCATGCATGGGCGTGCAAGCCATCCCATGCCTGCACGTGGGGGAGATGCCTGGACCTGCAAGGCCCACGTGGGCGATTAACAAGACCAGTGCATGCTCCTTTGCTGGCCTGAGTATCCTCTGATTTGATCTGATCTGCCTGCTTGCCTGCTTGCTTTTTTGGCTAACTGCACTCCATCCATGGTGCTGCATCTTCATGCCGCATTCACGCAAGTACTCACGCCTCCCTGTGTATCGTTCATCGTGCCGTGCTCGGTGCAGGCGATTGGAGAACTGTGGCTTTGGCACCAGCACGGATGGTTTGTCGTCGCTGGTCAAGTTGTCCGCACTTGTGAACCTGTGAGACCCCCACACACTCCCCCCGCACACTCCCCCCGCACACTCCCCCCGCACACTCCCCCCGCACACTCCCCCCGCACACTCCCCCCGCACACTCCCCCCGCACACTCCCCCCGCACACTCCCCCCGCACACTCCCCCCGCACACTCCCCCCGCACACTCCCTCCGCACACTCCCCCGCTCACTCCCCCCACTCACTCCCCCCACTCACTCCCCCCACTCACTCCCCCCGCTCACTCCCCCCACTCACTCCCCCACTCACTCCCCCACTCACTACCCCACTCACTACCCCACTCACCCCTCCCCCCACTCACCCCCCCTACTCACCCCTCTCCCCACTCACTCCCCCCACTCACCCCTCTTCCCATCCCACTCACTCCCCGCACCCACTCACTCCCCCTATACACTCACTCCTCCCACGCACTCCGGACCCCACATGCACCCACGGCAGTGTGCACCACACCACACTGGCCCGTCTATGCACCTTCTCTCTGCTGCTGCTTCCCGTCGCCCTCCCTTTTCCGCCTTTGCTGCTCCGCTTTCTGCCCTCTCTTCTCTTCCTCGTTTGCTGCTGCTTCTCCGCATGTGCTTCAGCATGCCACGTTGCCTCCTGCTGCTGCTGCTACTGCTACTGCTCCTGTTCCTGCTGCTGCTGCTGCTGCTGCTGCTGCTGCGGCTGAGCCATTGCTGCCTCACTCTCCGTATCCCCTTCCCCCCATGCAGGGAGCTGCCTTCTAACCAGATATCAAGACTCGAACCTCTTTATAGCATCGACTACCCCAACCTGCAGAATCTGTACTGCTTTCTGCTTCCATATTCCCCTCCTCTACTTCCTCTCCGTTTGGAAATACTGCGTGCATGCAGACAGCAGCAAGTGGGGCATGGCTGTGGCTGCATGCTGTGCTGTGTGGCTAGAGGCATGAGTCTGTAGACTCCTGTAGGCGGCACTGTTCTCCCTCTACAACCATCCTGTGCCACTTTGCCTGCACTCTCCCACTGCTGGACCCTGATCACTCCTATCCGCTCCCATCTGCTCCCATCCACTCGCATCCACTCTCACCCGCACGCTGACTTGGCCATGCCTACATGGCACCATAAAGGGCTTTCACGGCGGCACTCCTGCTTACCCACAGCCGCGCTTGCTCTTCCTGACACACTGCCTTCCATAATGGAAGAATGCCACATGTGTTTTGCCCCTTGCCCTCCCGCTCGCTCGCTGCTCACATGTGCACGGCATGGCAGGAATCTGAGCTCAAACCCACTGAAGATCGACAGCCTCGCGGGGGTTACCACGCTCAGGAGCCTTACAACCTAGTGAGTGGTTGGGCATGGCTCAGCGGGTAGGAGAGGATTACGCATACACATGGTGATCGTGGTCCCACATTCGGCATGCCTGGTGGCACATTCGGCATGCCTGGTCCCACATTCGGCATGCCTGGTCCCACATTCAGCATTCCTGGATGCACATTTGCAGCTTCAGCCTCACTCACACACTGCCTTATGCGCCTCCATTCCCAACACTCCCGTGTGCTCTTTGCTGCTAGCCGCATGTTGGTTGCTGTGCATGGGGGGACGGGATGGCATGCGAACACAGGGATCTGTCAAGCACGCAGCTCTTTGATGATCACATCCTGAAGGATCTCCCACTGCCAGCCTTGAAATTCCTGTATGTCCGTCCGTCCGTCCGTCCGTCCGACTGTGCTACAGGGAAGGTTGGTGGAGCGGGCCAAGGTCGTGCTGATGGTACTCAAGCCATTGCATGAGTCGTTGCTATGAGCGCCCCTTATGAGAGGAGCACATGCCATGTCTCGCCGGTTCTGTCCCCCATGTTTTCTTTACCGGGTGCATCATTCTGCAAATGCTTTCTTGCTTCCTGTCATCTGCCTTCCTCTCTCATTTCCTGCTGCCCTATATCCCCTATTCCAAGCCCATCCCCGCATGTCCCCTGCCATGCCTCATTCCTCCACTCTCTGTAAGCATCCATCCCTGTCGTTCCACTGCATCTCTGTCTGCCTCTTCCCGTGCCCTTGTCACCGCAGGAATATCTCCAATAATGGCCTCTCAGGCGCCATCCCCGAATCCCTCACAGCCATCACTTCCCTGGCGTACCTGTCAGTCCAATAATGGTCTCTTTGCATTGACTGTGCGTCTCTTTGCCTTGGCGTTGAAGTCTTCTCCCGGCTTGAGATTTTCGTGGCTCATCTCTTAGCGCCCCGGAATCAAAATCGGTGCACGGGCATCGCGTCTTGCTCGTGTCACACAACGTACACGTGCGCATGCGTGTCGCCGTGTGCGGAACATCCCTCCGCTTCACCTGTGCTTCAGATTGTCCCAACCCGCTGCCATTTCAAGGCTTGAGAGGCACCTCTCTCTTTCTCCGTGTCCCCCTGGTCCCTGGGCTTTGGCCTCTTGTGCGCCACAGGAACATGAGTTTCAACCACTTTGAAGGAACCATTCCACCATCCCTCGGAGGCCTCAGGCAACTCACAACCCTGTAAGTAGTGCTCTCAATGCTGCTAGGTGGGAGGTTTTGCTTGCGTTTTCTCTTTTTGTTTTACTGGAGATATAAAACAAATCCATGGATGGGAATTTCTGTCCGATATTTTCCTGAAAATATGAGGAAATAAACACACCAGGAGTTTTTTAGGTTCCTTTTTATTGGAAACCTGCCATTTCTCAGCTTGTACAGAATTGTGCCATGATGTTGACCTTCGTAAGTGCTCTCAACGGTGCAAGTGTGTGCTGAAATCGTGGGCTGCTCCTCTGTTGTCATCTGTGTTTGCATCTCTTCACTATTGCGCGCCAGTTTGTTGGTTTGAAGCAGTGAAATGAGCACGAGGAAAATAATATATCTCTTCCCTTGCCCCACACAGTGACACCAAAGACACGAACGAGTCTCAAGTGCACTGACAAGTACACCAGCTGCGGTGTGCCTCAGGATACATCCTCTGGCTTCTGCCGTGCCTGCCCTGACTTCTGTGACACATGTGAGCTTCGTTCTTGAGAGGAAGGAAGGTGGAGGAGGGGAGATTCTGTTTCCAATTTTAAACCAAGCTCCCCTGCTGTGCACCCAAGTGTCCTGCCGCCCCTTGTATTCAATCTTGTCAATCACTTGTCGGTTGAACCTGTTCGAGTCCTCTGCTCTGTTGGCAGGTGACAAGCGCAAGCCGCTTCCTTGGTGGGCTATCGTGGCAATCGTGGCTGGTGTTGTTCTCATTGCGGTGCTCGCTGTAGTGCTCTACCTCTACTTCTCTAACAAACGTGCGTCCCGTCCCGCATCACACTGCCTTGCCCTGCCCTTGCTTGCCTGGCACATGCACAGCACCGACGAGTCATGTGGCTGCCGTCTCTCTGGATCTCTTTATTGCCACTGTCATTGCTGCTCCACTTCCAGTCACCTCCTCCCTTGCCACTCCCGGTGCCACCACTTTCTCGCCTGCTCTCTTTGCCCTTTTGAAAACTCTCAAGGGCTCTTCCTGCAACCTGGCTGAGCGGCAATGGGGCCTCTCAGCCATTCCAGCAGCTCTCGCTTCGCTTCACCACATGGATGCGCACAATTTTCACTGTCTTGAGCTGGGCAGGGTGCTTCATTCTCTTAATCGCATCCACTACCTCCCAATCTCCCCACTTCTGTTCCTTCTTGCAGCGCTGCTGAGCAGCAAGGCGGCAGCGCAGGTGTGTCAGGAATATCCACTGCAGGCGGTGATGAAAGCGACCAACGGGTGGTCTGAAGCCAACCTGCTGGGTACGGGGGGCTTTGGTGATGTGTACCGCGGCGTCTCTCCCACCGATGGTGCCACTCAGTGGGCCGTGAAGCGAGCCAAGGTCGTCACCACCGACTTTGACACCGAGGTGCGTGTGACTGTGGCCGTATGTGATCTGCTGTGCTGAGGGGCGGTTTTCCAGGTCCACGCATTGTCAAACTAAGGTTTTTTTTTAAGCCAGGGAGGGCAAGAAGGTGAAAATGGTACATTAGTTAGGGTGAGAGTACAAGGAGATAGAGTTGGTTAGGGTGAAACCCAAATTGAACCTAGGGTGTGCTCAGTCCAGGAAACATGCTATAGAATGAACCTAAAGTGAACGTGGAATAAAAATAAGGCTAAGCTTAGCCGAAAAATAAGGGTGTGCTCAGTGGGCTGTGAAGCGAGCCAAGGTCGTCACCACCGACTTTGACACCGAGGTGCGTGCGTGTGCTGTGCGGTGGGTTGTGGTGTCTGGCGCTGTGCTGTGAAATTTAGAAGCATGACACTGGCATGGCCTGTCCGAGCGTGTTACATTCTTTAATGAGTGAGCCAGATCGAATCTCTTTGCACCCTCTTCTGTATCACGCTGTGCTTCACCGTTGTTTGAGCGAGGTGTGCGAGACAGATAAACTAAACACACAATTGTGGTAGGCAGCCGTGTCGTGTCAGATGGATCACTTTACGGTGTTTTACGACGGGGCCATATTTTTATGTGGCAGGTTTGCAGCAATGTGAAATATATCATTCAACTGTGTCCTACTGACCCCACCGTTCTGCCTGGCAGGTGTGTGCGATGGCCACAAAAGACCATCCCAACCTCGTGAAGCTGCTGGGCTTCGCCATTGGGATCACCGACAAGACAAGGGTCGAGCAAATCCTCATCTACGAGCTCATGCCCAACGGGGACCTCTCGAACTGGATTCGAGAAGGTGTGCATTGGATTGGAAAAGCAGTGCAGTTTAACAGTGCACGCACGTGCTCTGCAGGTATGCCCCCACACCCAGTGGGTCGTCCAGGTATGCCTCTTCATACAGACCTCCTTGCCTGCTTTGCCTACTTCTCACGGTCTCCTCTCTCCACACCTCCATTCCTGTCCCGTGGTCCATGCAGAGGCAGTGTCCCCGCTGAGCTTTGAGCGGCGGGTGAGCGTGCTGATGGGGGCGGCTCGCGGCTTTGAGTATCTCCACAGCTTCGGCATCGTTCACCGCGACATCAAGCCCGCCAACATCCTCCTCGACGGGAACATGCAGGCAAGCGGTGCAGGCATGCAGCTAGACTCATACCAAATGCACTACTATGAACGGGCATGCACACACGGGTGGCCTGCACATTTGAGTGCATCCACATGGGTGGACAACAGATTTCTATAGAATTTACCATGCATCCATTTCTGGCCATATCCATTGTCTTCTATCCATGAGAACAGGCTAAGATCTCAGACTTTGGGCTTGTGAGGAAGGGAGAGGGAACAACACTGCAGAGCACGCGAGTGGTGGGAACACCGGGCTATGTGGATCCCTCTTATGCTGCAACCAATAAGGCCACCACCGCCACTGATGTTTACAGGTGAGCCATGACCAGGATTTCTCCAACTGGCTCCTTTCTGTGGTTGGGCGTGTCTTATCCTCACCCTTGAATTTCTCCACGGGGTGTCCTGGTGTGCAGCTTTGGCATTCTCATTCTTGAGCTCATGACGGGCCGCCACGCCACCACCACTTGTCTCGACGTTCCTTCCGATGAAGAGGCGGGCCAGCAGCTGCACATCCTTCCCTGGGTACGTCCGTCCGTGGGGAGATGGAGAGAATGCCGGTGTGTGTTTGTGTTTCCGCGCTTCATTCCTCTTCTCTCTCTCACGCATCCACATATCGTCTCCTCCACCCTTCAAATCATGGTGTTTCAATCCCACAAACCTGTTTTGCTGCTGAACCCCACCAGGTCCAGCAGCAGCTGGCGCAATCCGGCAGCAGGGCGGTCGTGGCATGGCTGAAGCAAGCGCGCATGGAGGCGCGGGATGACTTGGTGTTGACGGTGGTGCAGCTGGCACTGTGTTGCACGTCTAAGCAGAGCGCCACGCGGCCGGCCATGGGGGTGATTGCAGCCGAGCTGGAGGCCTGTGGTGGTGGCGCTGGGCGGTGCACACAGAAATGCCGGTGCCCGCCAGGTGGATCTAGAGGTGGAGTCGCAGAAAATGTCTGCTACGTGTTTGGATACGGAGATTGCTCGTCTAAATGACATGTTGTGACGGCGTGGAAATTTTAGCCCCTGCATGATGGCATGAAAGCCGGGGTGCATTCACTGTCAGAAACTAACGAGCAGGAATGATTGTATTGAGATCAAACAGAGTACAAGTACTAGCCCTCATTGGGTTGTACCCCATATAGGCTACCCCAGTACATTCTACACAACATAAGCAGCATTATAGTTTGATACACCCCTATAGGCAAAGTGAGGGAGAACAAGGGGTCACAAGACCAGACAAGAGAAGCAAAGCAAGCTCAAGCAGGGCTGATTTTATCAGGGTAATTACCCTGATTTCTGGGTGATTTCAGGCTTTCCGCGTAGTGGAGACTGAAATTTCAGAATTACTGAGCTCTCAACCTAGATCCAATCAGAGTAATAGATTTAATATCCTTGATTTTGAGTATAGTGTAACAGACTAGCCTGTCAGTGGATCCTGACTTAACAGAGTATCGACTCTGTGGACCCCGAATAGACCTTATCGAGAGGAAGTTTCTACGAAATTTCCTCACGATAACCTCACCTTCGGATTGTTCGCAGTACAGCCAACGCGTGGATGAAACGAATAACACGTTATCGAGACATATTTTCTTCAAACTTTCTTTCCGACACACACACTATCGAGGTCCTACTGCGAGTTTCCAGGAAACATTGCACGAGTACCTATATGGGTAAGAAGTTTCTGTCAGAATCCCAACCACTAGACCATTGGGATAAAAAGGCTTGTTAAGTAGCGGGTCAGTGCGCCCATAACCCCCCAGGCCAACGTGCCTGTAACCCTTCCCTCGGATCAAACGGGGATCACCAGTGGACCTCTGACACCCCCCCGCACTGGAATACCCGAGGTGCACACATTGGGATTCGAACCCGAGACCTTCGCTCTGATACCATGCCAGAATCCCAACCACTAGACCATTGGGATAAAGGGGCTTGTTAAGTAACGGGTCAGTGCGCCCATAACCCCCCAAGCCAACGTGCCTGTAACCCTTCACTAGGATCAATCGGGGATCACTAGTGGATCTCTGACAGTTTCTTAGAAGTTTTATCCCTTAACACCCACATTGAGGTTCTGTTTTAATAATGCGCAGCGCGTTACTACACTGATCCTAAGTTCTCGACACTGAATAATCAGACTATTTGACTTCCCAACACTAAGCAACCAGGGCTATGTTTTCTGGAAAATATGCACCCATAATACAGAGGGAATTTTTTTCCCGGATTCAGGGTATCTAAATTTGAAACGTCAGCCATGAGCTCAGGGTGGATCACGAAGTCACCACATACTCTAAGCACAAGCAAGTGGCCATAAGGCCAGTTCACATGCAGAGTTATATACATGGGAACAAGCAGTAGAGTGATCACAACCTAGCAAGTGTAAGCATGGATGTACAAGTATATAAATCACAGTACAAGCAAAGTCACGAAGTGAGCAAGTGAGGCATAGTAGGCACAAGGCCTAAAACAGTACAGAAACGCTGATGATCACGAGGCTGAAGTGCCTTGGTGAATATATCAGCAATGTTGGCCCGAGTGGCCACATAAACAAGACGAAGCTTACCATGCTGCTGCAACTCTCGAGCAAGGAAGTAACGCAGAGCGATGTGCTTCGTCTTGTGCTCCAATCTGTGCTCCTAACACAAGGCAATCATGGCCTTGTTGTCTACGTACAGAACTGGAGGAGAACTAGGCCGCTCTCCCAAGTCGGTCAGCAGGTAGGTGAGCCAGCGTAACTCCTGTGCAGCCATGGCCCCTGCGTAGATCTCAGCCTCACAACTGGAACTGAGAACAGAAGACGAGCGGGTAGACCGCCAAGAAACAGAACCGGAGCCATGGCTGAAAGTGTAACCCTGTGACGACCGCTGCGTAGCCAAGTAGTCAACCCAAGACGCGTCTGCGTGGCCACTGAGAAAAATATCAGAATCAGAAACGAGAATGAATGACTAGAATGAGTGTTGGGTACAAATAGGTCAAACCTAACCCTAGAAATGTGTACCCACTATAGGCTAACCCACTGTAGCCTAAACAAGCACATCATACAATGTTTGACACACCCCCATAGGCAAAGTGGGGGAGAACAAGGGGTCACAAGACCAGTCAAAGCAAAACAAAGCTCAGGGTGGATCTCAAGGATACCACACAAGTTCCGAGCACAAGCAAGCGGTCACAAGACCAGTTCACATGCAGATTTATAAAAGAACAAGAGATACAGTAATCACAACCTAGCAAGAGTAAGCATGCAGGTATATATATATAGAGATCACTGTACAAGCAAAGTCAAGAAGTGAGCAAATGAGGGACAGTAGGCACGAGGCCTAGAACAGTACAGAAGCGCTGATGGTCACAAGGCTGAAGCGCCTTGGTGAACACGTCAGCAGTGTTGGCCCGAGTGGCCACGTAACGCAGACAAAGCTGACCTCGCTGCTGCAGCTCTCGAGCAAGAAAGTAGCGCAGAGCAATGTGCTTCGTCCTGTGCTCCAGTCTGTGCTCCCCACACAAGGCAATGGTGGCCTTGTTGTCGACGTACAGCACTGGAGGAGAACGAGGCTGCTCTCCAAGGTCAGTCAGCAGGTAGGTGAGCCAGCGAAGCTCCTGGGCAGCCATGGCCGTGGCGTAGATCTCAGCCTCACAGCTGGAGCTGAGAACAGAAGAAGAGCGAGTAGAACGCCAAGAGACAGAGCCAGAGCCAAGACTGAAGGTGTAACCCTGGGACGACCGCTGAGTAGCCTGGTCGTCTGCCCAGGAAGCGTCTGAGTGCCCAGTGAGAACAGGCCGGTCTCGCCCTCCAAGCACTAGCCCCATGCCCGACGTACTGCACAAGTAGCGCAACACCCTCTTAGCTGCATCCATGTGCTCCTTCCGGTGACGGCCGGGAGCGACATAGCGTGCTAAGATGCTGAGAGGGTATGCAAGGTCAGGTCGAGTGCAGGTCATCAGGTACATGAGGCAGCCCACAAGCTCTGGATACGGACCACTCGGCTCTACGGACTCATCCGAAGGCAGAGCTGAGAGCGAGTGTCTCGTAGGCAGAGGAGTGGACTGAGGCGAGGAGTACGTGAAGCCGAAGCGCTGAAGGACCTGCTGCACCATGTGTGACTGAGTCAAGGTGATGGTGCGCCGTGCTCTGTCCCGGGTGATCCGCAAGCCAAAATAGCTTGTCAGTTCACCCAGGTCTGTGCACGTGTGTCTCTTCTGCAGCTCGGACTTCACGTGAGCGAGACCAACTGTGTCAGAAGTGGCAAAGACCAAGTCGTCGACGTACACAAGGATGTAGAACGGCGGCAGCGATGGGTCGATGCGTAGAAACAGCGACGGGTCAGCAGTAGAAGGAGCGAACCCAAGAGCCGCAAGTGTAGTCCTCAGTGTGTCGTGCCACTCACGTGGCGCCTGGCGGAGACCGTAGACTGGCCGCCGGAGGCTCCACTGGGTACCAGGAGGGAACGACCCAGTGAAGCCAGGTGGGCGGCGCAGCCAGATCTCCTCGTGCAGGCTGCCCTGCAAGAAAGCTGTGCTGAAGTCTAGAGAGTGGAGCTCGTAGTCACGCTGAGCGGCGATGTGTAGCAGAACCCGAAGAGTGGTCATCTTCGGGGTCGGGGAGAAGTTCTGGAAGAAGTCAACTCCCTCTCGCTGACTGAAGCCTCGTGCAACGTAACGCGCCTTGAAGACAGGCGGAGAGCCCGGCGGCCGCTTCACCCTGAAAATCCACATGCCAGTGACGATGTTCGCCCCAGGTGGGGGAACCTCGTCGACGTAGGTGCATGTGGACTTCCAGGAAGCCATCTCTGTGTCCATGGCTGACTTCCACTGAGAGGAGTAGGGACCGGCCATCGCCTCTGCGTAAGAGCGTGGGGTCGGGATGTCTGGTGCATCCGGGTCTCCCTCAGGGGCAACGAGCATGGACACGAGATGGGGCAAAGCAGCGGCAAGGCAACCAACCTCCTCCTGCCTGTCCTCAAGAACGTCCGTGCCAAGAGCACACTCACCCCCGACGGACGGAGGACAGACAGACTCAGACTCAGCAACAAGACTCGCAGCGCAGTCTAGACGACACGCAGCTGCAAAGTCGACAAGCTCAGTGACTAAGGCAGACGCAGCAGCGGACTCAAAGGAAGGGTCAGTGACAACCGTAGCGAGGAGACGTGTGACAGTAGGACTGGCAGCGCGAAGGGTGTCTGACTCCGGGTCAGCAAGCGCAGGAAGAGAGGACGCAGGAGGCGACGGGAGAGCGACACGCTGCGGAGCAGTGGACTGACGAAGCGCCATCTGGTGAGTGCCTGGGACAGCAGGAGGACGCTGACGCTGGACACGACTAGCAGTGGTAGCAACACGAACAGGCGACGCTCGACGAGACGCAGGGGACACAGGACGTGAAGCAGGCTCACGTCTCTCAGCTAGACCTCCAGTCGGACCAGTGTACGGAGTAGGCACAGGGAGTGGGGAGGCAGTCGGTAACTGTGGCTGTGACTGGACAGACGGAGGACACTCTAAGGTGAGAGGAGGACACTGACTAAGAACCTGCTGAAGGAGCGGAACGAAGTACGGCCGTGGCCGTGCAGCAACTCTCGAACCAGCAGAAGCTCCACCCTCCGGGTCCTCCACTCCAGCAGCAGCAGCAGCACCTCCAGCAGCAGCACCACCAGCAGCAGCAGCACCTCCAGCACCAGGGTCCTCAGTACGAGCAGCACCTCCAGCAGCACCGCCAGCAGCAGCAACACCTCCAGCACCAGGGTCCGCAGCACCCGCAGCAGCGTCAACTCCGGGGACCCCAGCACCAGCAGCTCCACTCCGGAGACTGATGTGCCGAGCGTACCACTCTCGAAGCTGTGGGGAAGAGGGCGGCTTCCGCCGTGGTGGGGAAACACTAGTACCAACTCCAGTAGCACCACGAGCCCGAGACGCACCCCGCCGGAGGCTGCAGTACCGTGAGTACCACTCACGGAGCTGCTGCGAAGAGGGAGGTCCTCCAGGCGCCTCACAGTCAACTGCAACACAACCAG